AATTATTAAGGTGATGCTGCTGCGTTGGCAGTGGTGCACAAACAATAACAACAACAAAACTCAACACGTTCATCAATAACACGGTAGCCTTCAAAAGAAAATAAACAATAGGTGATGTTCCAGGCAACAACACATACATTAGCTTTGGCCATTACCCGACACGTTTCCTACGACTGTACATACGTTTCCTTTCAAGGCCACAGTGTTGTTGACGAATGTGTTGCGTATTTGCACATTTAAAATGTTGCAAATAAATTAAAATTGTACACATTTTATCTGGCAATGCACGCATTTGTTATTGTGTTTGGCTACTCGTGCCTCTATCGGCAGTGTAAGAGATCGCTGTGATTCGCTACTGGCACCTCTATCGGCAGTGTGAGACATCACTGTGATTGGCTACTGATGCCTCTATAGGCAGTGTGAGACATCACTGTGATTGGCTACTGATGCCTCTATAGGCAGTGTGAGACATCACTGTGATTGGCTACTGATGCCACTATAGGCAGTGTGAGACATCACTGTGATTGGCTACTGATGCCACTATAGGCAGTGTGAGAGCTCACTGTGATTGGCTACTGATGCCACTATAGGCAGTGTGAGAGCTCACTGCGATTGGCTACTGATGCCTCTATAGGCAGTGTGAGAGCTCACTGTGATTGGCTACTGATGCCTCTATAGGCAGTGTGAGAGAGCACTGTGATTGGCTACTGATGCCTCTATCGGCAGTGTAAGAGATCGCTGTGATTCGCTACTGGCACCTCTATCGGCAGTGTGAGACATCACTGTGATTGGCTACTGATGCCTCTATAGGCAGTGTGAGACATCACTGTGATTGGCTACTGATGCCTCTATAGGCAGTGTGAGACATCACTGTGATTGGCTACTGATGCCACTATAGGCAGTGTGAGACATCACTGTGATTGGCTACTGATGCCACTATAGGCAGTGTGAGAGCTCACTGTGATTGGCTACTGATGCCACTATAGGCAGTGTGAGAGCTCACTGCGATTGGCTACTGATGCCTCTATAGGCAGTGTGAGAGCTCACTGTGATTGGCTACTGATGCCTCTATAGGCAGTGTGAGAGATCACTGTGATTGGCTACTGGTGCCTCCTCTATAGGCAGTGTGAGAGCTCACTGTGATTGGCTACTGATGCCTCTATAGGCAGTGTGAGAGCTCACTGTGATTGGCTACTGATGCCTCTATAGGCAGTGTGAGAGCTCACTGTGATTGGCTACTGATGCCTCTATAGGCAGTGTGAGACATCACTGTGATTGGCTACTGATGCCACTATAGGCAGTGTGAGAGTTCACTGTGATTGGCTACTGATGCCACTATAGGCAGTGTGAGAGCTCACTGTGATTGGCTACTGATGCCTCTATAGGCAGTGCCTGTGTATAGAATAGGAGTTCAAGAATGATGCCCTCGTGAAGGCCACGCTGTTACCGTGTTGAACAGCTGCAGCTGAAATGTCCCCCAATACACGCGGTCCGTTGGGGTCAACGTGAGTCAGAGTTCCAACCACATGCTAACGTTGGCCCAACGTTGGCCCCAACTGAAACAACTCCAGCCGGAGGCTGCCAAATATCCCCGTCTGTTGAGTTTGGAAACGTGTAGTACTTTGAACACGAGTATGTGTCAGTGTCAGCATCGGCATGGCTGCGTGCATTTGAAAGCACAAAATACATGGTACGCTTCCAATTGTGGTACAGATTTAAGCTATGATAAAAGCTGCGTTTCTTAGCTAATGGGGTATAAGCACAAAACGTGCTGCGATGATGAATGGAATTGAGGCATCGGCCCGCACGCTTTGTTCTGCCGACGCACTAGTCGCTTGAGTGTCGTGTGCGTGCAACAGAAGACACCACCCTGCGTTTGATTTCAAACCGGCGCAAGGTCGCGCTTTGGTCGCCGCTTGCAAACATTTTCCTTTTTGATCGCTCGCCATCGTCACCTTCTCTCACTGCGAGACGTCTCCCGGGCGTGTGGGGCGATGGCACGTATGTACGTATGTATGTGCGTGTGAACTTCTTTCGCACCGTACTTAGCCACCGATGCTCATCGGAGGTGCGGGGGAGGGGGGAAGGACAACACACAAAACGCAGCGCTAAAGAAATTAGTTTTAAAATCTAGATTTAAAAGTGCATAGCTCCAGTGCACTTCCTAATGTCGAGAGGAAGAGCATTCCAGACGGCCACAACAGCGCTCTGAAAGAGCTGCAATGCAGTGACCATCATTGTTCTATGGCTAGCCAAAAGCTGCTGCTGCGAGGATGATCAGTGGATTGATAAAGGACTGTAATCTATTATCGTTATGTATTTTCAAATCCTAACCAGCCAGGATGCACTGTGGTTAGATCGCTCAACTCACAATGAGGATGTTACAATTTTAAAAAGCTGCTGGTATGTATGTTGAACTTCATTCGCACCGTATGTAGCCAACCTTGCTAATCAGAGGTGCGGTGGAAGTTACAACAAACTAGAATACGAAGCATTTCTCAAGAAATGAGTTTGTCAATCTAGATCATTTGAAAGTGCACAACTCCAGCGGCTTCCTAATATCAGAAGGAAGAGCTTTCCAGACGGCCGCAGGAGCGATGCTGCTGTGCTCCTATGCGGGGTTTGTTCGTCGGGCGAGAGAGTCACTGTGTTACAGGCGATGTAAGACTTGTCATTTCTCAAAAAGGAGTATTTTTATGACAGTGATAATAACAAGCAATCAGTTTTTATGTAGTTTAACACAAAGGCTTTCGCGACCAATATCATTCATAATACAGGTTTTTTTGGGTTATATTGCGTAAATATGAATGTGTCGTTAAACCCACCACCACCCGACACAGCTAATTCGTAAGCTTTGTCACGTAAACAAAACATGACAATTCGTAACGAGTACAGCACCATGGTGTGTTGGAGAGCCAAGCCACAACATTTACAATCTTAGCATGTAGCAACTGCATCATTCAACGGTCGGCAATCCCCGCAAACATTGAAGTGCTTATACATTTAGGGGTTTTCAGCAAATTCACGAGGTCTTGGGTTCGATCTCGACCCTGACTGCCTGTATATTTGAAGTTTGCATGTATCTCTCCACGTGGTCACGTGGATTTTTCTCCGGGTCTTCCGATTTTTTTGCTCTCCACATTCAGAAACATGCGTTTCGAGTATTTGGCTGATATTAATTTCCACGTGATATACGCCACTGAGTCAGGTGATAATTTTTGGCCAGGTCGTTTCTGAAAAAGAGCCATATAGCTCAAGTGGGCCTTACCTGGTAACATAAAAACACATTCCTGCGAGGGAGCTGGTAGGAACGTTGGGTTGCTTGGTCAATGGCCAGGGTCAACGGCGGCGTGGGGTATTCCGCAAATATGGCCGACTGTGAGGGAGGGCACAAGCCGGCGTGAGTAGGTTAAACGTTGAGTTTTATAAGGGCACCACAGGGTGACCAGCCCCTCCCCACCCAGCCCCACCCCTCTCACCCCCCACCCAGCCCCACCCCTCCCACCCCCACTAGCCCCACACCTCCCCCTCCCCACCCAGCCCCCCCACCCAGCCCCTCCCTCTTCTCCCCACCCAACCCCTCCCTCCCCTCCCCACCCAGCCCCTCTCCACCCAGCCCCTCCCCTCCCCACCCTGCCCACCCAGCCCCTCCCCACCCTCCCCTCTCCATCCAGCCCCACCCCTCCCATTTTTGGATGCACGACGGACGGACGGACGGACACAATAATCCCTTGTGGGCTGGTGGAACCAGGTGGTTCCTACCAGTAACATTTGTAGAATTGTAGTTGTATTGTAAACTCGTGGGAGGAAACCAGAGCACCTAAAGAAAGGAGAGCAAGGGGGCAACACACTATCCCCATACAGATGGGACAGATGATATCAGCTCGCACTTTTTGTAGTAACCGCCTTCTCCTGGCGAGCCAGGGGTATGACACCTCCTCGACGCCCCCGTGAGAAGGGAGTTTCGCAACGTCTGTGCCGTGATCCACCAAACCCTCGGTTGCCACCTCAACATCGCTGGATTACAGGCGGCCACGTGCACTAGCAATATTGAGTGCCTAGTGCAGGGGTCGGCAACCAAAATAACAAGAAGAGCCATTTCTTTCCAATTCGGTACAAAATTCAGCATTTCAAGAGCCGCAATGCATCTGAGTACATACTGTACATACATACTCATCGTTAAGAAGCAGCCCGTAAAGAGCCGCATGCGGCTCCGGAGCCGTAGGTTGCCGACCCCTGGCCTAGTGCGATGTGTAAAAGCATCGCCACATGGGAGATAAAGGCGGCTGGACGTGGTGCTGTGGCCACACACTCACCCCTCTCGTGCCTCGTGTGCCGTTTCCAGCCTTCACAGGTGCTCGCTAGCAGCATGGGGGAGACTTTCGCACAGTATGTAGCCAAACTGTGCTAATCGGAGGTGCGTAGCCACCACCGCCCGGCTAAAAAGTTCTTGAAAAATACGTGCGTTGTTTCTAGATTTGCATCCCTCTTCCCTGGCTCTTACCCTATATAATCGCTTGTCACATACAGCTCTCTCTGCCCACTACAGTAATTTTTTTGCTGTGGTTGTCTCACCTGATGACGGAAGCTTGTGTTGCCTCCGAAACGTCGTGATTTAGTTATTTTTATTTTCACCTACGTGACTTTACCGAAAGAACCAAAGAGTATGTGCGTTCATATTATTGGTTCTTTTGGTAAAGTCACGTAGAAGGGGAACAATAAAAAAAATTCTCACGACGTTTCGACTGCAACACAAGCAATCATCATCACCTGAATTGTATTGTTTTATATATTTTTTATTTCATTTTTTCACTTCTACGTGACTTTACCGAAAGAACCAAGATTATGAATCCCTGCAGTCACGAAAGCTTTAAACAAAAATGTAGTAAGTGCGTTGTTTATTTATTTTATTTTCTCCCGTTTAAAAGCTCGCAGAGGAACACAATGTTCTCAAAGTCTTAACAATTGTGCTCGTCCCTCTCTCCCGGTCCGCGTGACAGCCGGTCACCGTCTCGGGACACGGAGGAGCAGAATGTGAACAACAACAACGTCTCTCCATCCGACTTCCTTGATAAGCTCATGGGTCGGAGTTCGGGCTACGATGCGCGAATACGGCCGAACTTCAAACGTGAGTCTGCCAAACGCATCACCCAGTCCGTTCGGGCCCCCACCTCCATGTGAGGACACTTCGATGGTTTTGTCGAATGACCGTGCTGCAGTGTTTGTCTCCTTGGCTGTGCAGGGGGCAGGATTGCGATGTTCACGCGACCATCGTATTGACGGGGCAACTGCTTGCTGCTGTTGCTGTGCGGTTGTTGTCTTGGTGGTGTGGTCTGGGATGTCTTTTGCTGCCTTGCCCAAGCTTGATAAATGGGACTTATGTAATTAATAAAATAATGTTAGTTATTTTTTTTATTGACCTTGCTGACCATTTTCTTTATTTTTGCAATCCTGTCGTTTTTTTTGTTTTGTGTTTGCCGTTGTAACTTTTCTGGCCCCCGTGCCCTGACCGGACGTCGAGAAGAATTACAGTAACATTTAAACAAAAATAAACGTAACGTACGACAAGGTGGAAGTTATATGCGCAGTAAATGTGCAATGTCAGGCCAACGGGCCAATGTCGGTGTGCGGTTGCAACCGTTGCACAAGCGTTGGCCGCAGCGTTACATATATATTTTTTCGGTTTCACGAAATTTCGCGTCGACGCGAATCGACGAATCGCGGACACGCGTCGGTTAACGAAAGCGGATTTCTGCATTACGGCGAAATTTGACTCACGGCCGTGCGCGCGTGCCTCGTGATATCGTCAAACGAGAAGCCACCCAGGAGGATGGGTCGTTATCCATCAGCCGCAGCGTCACCGTGTCCCTGCAGTCAATAGAGTAACGAGCGTGGGGCAGGCAGGGGGTGCCTTCTCCCCCCCTCCCTCCTAGTGGACAAAGCTACGAGTTGGGCCCCCCCCCCTAGACAACCACCGTGAGATTTGTTTTCAACAGTATTGGGGGGCCACACCTGACCGATTTTTGCACCCCCTGAGCTGATAATGTAATTGCTACGCCACTGATAATGTAGTCACTACGCCACTGATAATGTCGTTACTACGCCACTGATGATGTCGTTACTATGCCACTGATAATGTAGTTACTACACCACTGATAATGTAGTTACTACGCCACTGATGATGTCGTTACTATGCCACTGATAATGTAGTTACTACGCCACTGATGATGTAGTTACTACACCACTGATAATGTAGTTACTACGCCACTGATGATGTAGTCACTACGCCACTGATAATGTAGTCACTACGCCACTGATAATGTAGTTACTACGTCACTGATAATGTAGTTACTACACCACTGATAATGTAGTTACTACACCACTGATAATGTAGTTACTACACCACTGATAATGTAGTTACTACACCACTGATAATGTAGTCACTACACCACTGATAATGTAGTTACTACACCACTGATAATGTAGTTACTACACCACTGATAATGTAGTCACTACGCCACTGATAATGTAGTCACTACGCCACTGATAATGTAGTCACTACGCCACTGATAATGTCGTTACTACGCCACTGATAATGTACGTACTACGCCACTGATGATGTAGTCACTACACCACTAATAAGGTAGTTACTACACCACTGAAAATGTCGTTACTACCCCACTGATAACGTAGTTACTATGTCACTGATAATGTAGTTACTACGCCACTGATAATGTAGTTACTACGATACTGATAATGTAGTTACTACACTGATAATGTAGTCACTACACCACTGACAATGTAGTCACTACGCCACTGATAATTGAGTTACTCCGCCACTGATAATGTAGTTACTACGCCACTGATAATGTACGTATAACGCCACTGATGATGTATTTACTACGCCACTGATAAGGTAGTCACTACACCGCTGATAATGTCGTTACTACGCCAGTGATAATGTAGTTACTACACCACTGAAAATGTCGTTACTACCCCACTGATAATGTAGTTACTACACCACTGATAATGTAGTTACTACACCACTAATAATGTAGTTACTACCCCACTGATAATGTAGTTACTACGCCACTGATGATGTAGTGACTACACCACTGATAATGTAGTTACTACACCACTGATGATTTAGTCACTACGCCACTGATGATGTAGTCACTACACCACTGATGATGTAGTCACTACGCCACTGATGATTTAGTCACTACGCCACTGATGATGTAGTCACTACACCACTGATGATGTAGTCACTACGCCACTGATGATTTAGTCACTACGCCACTGATGATGTAGTCACTACACCACTGATGATGTAGTCACTACGCCACTGATGATGTAGTCACTACACCACTGATGATGTAGTCACTACGCCACTGATAATCTAGTTACTACACCACTGATAATGTAGTTACTACACCACTGATAATGTAGTCACTACGCCACTGATGATTTAGTCACTACGCCACTGATGATGTAGTCACTACACCACTGATGATGTAGTCACTACGCCACTGATGATGTAGTCACTACACCACTGATGATGTAGTCACTACGCCACTGATAATCTAGTTACTACACCACTGATAATGTAGTTACTACACCACTGATAATGTAGTCACTACGCCACTGTTGATGCAGTTACTACGCCACTGATAATGTAGTTATTACGACACTAATAATGTAGTTACTACACCACTGATAATTTAGTCACTACGACACTGATCATGTAGTCACTACGCCACTGTTGATGCAGTTACTACGCCACTGATGATGCAGTTACTACGACACTGATAATGCAGTTACTACGACACTGATAATGCAGTTACTACACCACAGATAATGTAGTTTCTACGCCACTGATAATGTAGTTACTACGCCACTGCCGACAGTTCCACAGCAACGCCTCCACGTCACCTCGCCATTCATTCCAACATCCAACAGACCTTTCGGTGAGTTCCCTAAAAAAAGGTTAAGTTATTTTACTTTCAAACTATCTATTATTCAATCGTTTAAATGATTTATGTGCTTTATTTTACCCTTAGGTTAGGAGTGGAGTTCGAATGACTCTCCGAAACGCATCCCTCATGTTTATTATTATGAAATCAATTCGGGGAAAGCCGTTCCGATTTACGAAATTTTATTTGACGCCCATTTATTTTTTAAGAACCGTAGTATCCCTTTTGTAAATCGAGGTATAACCTCTGTACTTGGGCTTTCACGCCCCGATGTATTATTTATTTATTAATTATTACTTTCTTTTTAATTATATTATCAAGATTTTAATGTAAGTTTTTGTTTTTTTACAATAACCCTTCACCACCGAACAGATCCAATAAAATCAATGTACGCTGAACGTCTTTAGCACCGTACGTCGTTAACCGTGCTCAATCAATTTGTCACATCGCGGGCAAACGCGCCCAAATCGATATGTTTTCCCTCGCAAAACCGGAGGAACGTTTTGAAACGCAAGCGAAATTTAGACAACATTTGTTTTTTGTACGACATTTCTGCTGGATGTTGCATCCGGCGTTGTCGGGCATGTTAACAAAAGCCCATCTTCTCGGTTCTTTCGGTAAAGTCACGTAGAAGGGAAGTAATAAAATAATAAAAATAAAACAAAATAAAAATAATTCTCACGACGTTTTGGCCCCAACGCAAGCAGCCGTCCTCAGGTGAAGACCAGGTCTGTCGGGGAGACAGCGTCTGACAGACCTGGTCTTCACCTGAGGACGGCTGCTTGCGTTGTGGCCGAAACGTCGTGAGAATTATTTTTATTTTGTTTTATTTTTATTATTTGATTATCTCCCTTCTACGTGACTTTCCCGAAAGAACCAAGAAGATGAATCCCTGCAGTCACGAAAGCTTTAAATCGAAAAAGCCCATCTCTCACGTGGAGAGAGAGAGAGCTCGGCTGGATGTAATCTCCCTGGCTGGATGTGTAAACTAATTACGACTCGGAAACCGCTACGCCTTTGCAAGGAGACCACGATGTAAACGCGTGAAAATAACCACCAATCTGATGGGGTGAGGCGGGGTCACACGCACGGCGGTGTTGAGGTGGGAGCAGTGTCTGCGTGTCATCACGCCCCCGGTTCGCTCCGTTGATTGGACGGTCCCAGGGTTTTTTTTGTGCGAAACGACGTCGCTGCTTTCATTTTTCAGAGCGGGTTAAATTGCCGCGCGACGCTTTTTTTATCCCTGCGGCCGGGTTGAAGGTCAACCCCAGCGCCGCTTCGGAGGTCGCGAGGTTTGTTTGACCGGTCGCTTCACCGCGCCGGTCAATGCGGGGTTTGGCGAAGGAGGGTGCCCGGGATGGGGTTAAGAATGAGGGGTCGGGCAACCCGGCGGCTCCGAACCAGCTTCGTGACGTCAATTGTTAACGGGCCACCGTCTCTCGTATTCACATTGCTGCGTTGTGCAGCCCTTGAAATTATTGAGGTTTTTGTTGTTGTTGTTCTTGTTGCCGAATAAAAAAAAAATGTGGCTCCTAATCAATCTAGAATTGAAGCTTTCGTGACTGCATAAATTATACTCATTGGTCTTTTCGGTAAAGTCACGTATGTAGGAATTAAATAACATTTTAATCAATTAAATTAAAATAAATCACGACGTTTCGAACGCAACACATGCGCTCATCCTCAGCTGGAAATGTGGTAAAACACATAGCGAGGGAACACACAGGGGGACACCGCGTGCATAGCACATAGAGAACGGCAAACTGCATGGAGCAAATACAGCAAGAAGATGGGAGACGAGAACTCAACAAACCTTAGAAACATAATGCGATGCAAACCAGTCGGCCAACAAACACAGTTAGACACTAACCTGGTTGACCACGTATTTCAAAAGACTGCTAAATTATTTGTGTTCATCATCTGGGCTGAACCTACCAACGTAAAACAGAGAACAAGGACTCGTGAACAGACAAGAGGTACATATACAGAGAAGACACACATCTTTCCCTGTGATTTATTTTAATTGAATTGAATTTTATTTATTCAAATTTTATTTTATTTCTACGTACGTGACGCTACCGAAAAAAACCAACGAGTATATTGTGGCTCCTCGTGTTATTTCGTTTGCCAACCCCCGCCCCGCGGGTTAAAATAT